ATTTTGTATTCTCATCAGCAATGAATGAGAACTCGTGTTGGTTCATATCCTCACCAGCATTTGATGTTGTCAGTGCTTTTAGATTTTGGCCATTCTAGTTGGTATGTAGTAGTATCTCATTGTTGTTTTAATTTGCATTTCCCTAATGACATATAATGTGGAGCAACTTGTCATGCTTATTTGCCATTTACATATCTTCTTTGATGAGGTTTCCTGATATTTTGCCCATTTTAAAAATCAGATTGTTCATTTTCTTTTCTTTTTTTTTAATATATTTTTACTGATTTCAGAGAGGAAGGGAGCGGGAGAGAGAGACAGAAACATCAATGATGAGAGAGAACCACCAATTGATTCTCCTGTATACCCTACACTGGGGATGGAGCCCTCAACCTAGGCATGTGCCCTGACGGAGAATCGACCCGTGACCTACTGGTTTCTAGGTCAACGCTCAACCCCTAAGCCATGCTGGCCAGGCGATTGTTCATTTTCTATTGTTGAGTTTGAGTTCTTTATATACTTTGGATAATAATCCTTTATCAGGTTTATTTTTTACAAATATTTTCTCTTAGTATATGGTTTCACATTTTCTTGATGGAGTCAGTTTTTAAAATAGATATAAAGCTACTCAGATTTTCTATTTTTTCTTGTATCTATTTTGGTAACTTGTATTTCAAAGAATTTCTGTTTCATGTAAGTTGTCAGGTTTACTGTCATAAAGTTACCTCTTTAATGCCTGTGATGTCCCCTTATTCATTTCTGATGTTACAATATTTGTTTTATCTTTCTTTTTTTTTAGGGTTAGATTTTCTTTTTTTAAATAAATCTTTATTGTTCAGATTATTAAAGTTGTTCCTCTTTTTTCACCCCATAGCTTCCCTCCACCCGGTTCCCACCCCACCCTCCACCCTCACTCCCCACCCACTGTCCTCATCCATAGGTGCACGATTTTTGTCCAGTCTCTTCCCGCATCTCCCATTTCCCTTTCCCCCCCAAGAATAGTCAGTCCATTCCCTTTCTATGTCCCTGATTCATTATAATCACCAGTTCATTCTGTACATCAGATTATTTATTCACTTGATTCTTAGATTCACTTGTTGATAGATGCATGTTTGTTGTTCACAATTTGTATCTTTACCTTTTTCTTCTTCCTCCTCTTAAAGGATACCTTTCAGCATTTCATATAATACTGGTTTAGTGGTGATGAACTCCTTTAGCTTTTCCTTATCTGTGAAGCTCTTTATCTGACCTTCAATTCTGAATGATAGCTTTGCTGGATAAAGTAATCTTGGTTGTAGGTTCTTGCTATTCATCACTTTGAATATTTCTTGCCACTCCCTTCTGGCCTGCAAAGTTTCTGTTGAGAAATCAGCTGACAGTCGTATGGGTATTCCCTTGTAGGTAATTGAGTCTCTTTCTCTTGCTGCTTTTAAGATTCTCTCTTTGTCTTTTGCTCTTGGCATTTTAATTATGATGTGTCTTGGTGTGGTCCTCTTTGGATTCCTTTTGTTTGGGGTTCTCTGCGCTTCTTGGACCTGTAAGTCCATTTCTTTCACCAGGTGGGGGAAGTTTTCTGCCATTATTTCTTCAAATAGGTTTTCAATATCTTGCTGTCTCTCATCTTCTGGCACCCCAATTATTCTGATGTTTGTACGCTTGAAGCTGTCCCAGAGGCTCCTTACACTATCTTCATATTTTCGGATTCTTTTTTCATTTTGCTTTTCCGGTTGGGTGTTTTTTGCTTCTTCGCATTTCAAATCTTTGACTTGATTCTTGCGCTCCTCTGGTCTGCTATTGGGTGTCTGTATAATATTCTTTATTTCAGTCCGTGTATGCTTAATTTCTAGTTGGTTCTTTATCATAGCATCGAGGGTCTCATTAGTTTTCGTGACTCTCTCCTCAAGTTTATTGACAGCTTCTAGCACATTTTTGCAAGCCCTCAAAATTGCGATTTTTAGCTCTATATCCTCCATTTCTGTCATGTTTTTTTGTCTCCGCATTTTTTATGCTTTCTTGGTGCACCCCCTAGTGGTCTTTGTGCGCAGTCTTGTTCTAGTTGAGCCTTGATTGTTGTAGTTAATACTAGAGGGATTTGACCACCAGGCCGACTGGCTGTGTGAATCAGCTGTGTCTGCCGCGGAAAACTTCTGTCCTCTGGGGAGGTGCTAATCTAGCCTTTGCCTGAGGCGATCCGGCAAATGGCTCTGCGCAGGGCTTGGGCGGGGCGGGCTCAACAGGGCGGGCGGAGGGAGCGGTTATGGTGCCCTCAGTCCCGTTCCCAGAGGCTCTGCTTCTCAGAACCCCAGGAACCGCTGCAAACCTCGGAGAGAAAGCTGCCTTCCAACTGATGCCAGACACTCCCGCTTCTCCCGTTTGAGTCCGAGTCCCCAGCGATTCGCCCGTATCTGGAGCTCAGAGTCTGAGACTCCCCCCTGACCGAAAACGACAACCGCGCTCTCAGCCACCAGCCCGCTTTGCGCGCGCACCTCCGCACCTGAGTATTTTCCACACTGCGCCTCCTCTGAGCCTCGGTGTGCTGTTATTTTTCCTTCTAGTTGAAGAGTCTCTCCTCAGCCAGCCTTCCTGTGGTTCTGGGTGATGTCCGTTCCGTCTTTTAGTTGTATTTTTGAAGTGGTTGTTTGCGGCAGCAGTCTCCGGTGTTTACCTATGCCGCCATCTTGGTCTCCCCCAAAAAGGATTTTTTTCCCCATCCCCCTTTCCCAGGCTAAGAACCCCTGCGTTAGAGGGTCTGTCCCCTGAGGTCCCAAGCGCCCGTGTCTTGTCCACTTTGGTACCTTCGGGCCATTTTGTTCGGTGCGGCACACGGAGAGTCTCCTTGCTTGTTTGTGGAATTGAAAGGAAAGGAATTGCCTAGATGGCCATCCTCCCAGGTGAGGAAAGTGCTCATTCAAGGCTAAGGCTGGAGTTTTGTTCCCAGACTTCATGTCTGGGAGAGGATTTTCCAGGGGCTCCCACTCTGCAGGCTGGAGCGGGAGGAAGTGGCCAATTCTGGGGACTCCGCTAAGTTACAGGAATTCTCTGGAGAAAGAATGACAGCAAGTTGAGCTGGTTAAACAGAGCAAGATGGAAAAAACGCTGGAAAAGGAAATGACGTCACTCATTCTGTTGGCTTTGAGCACAGGGAACCCGAAAAGTACGAAAAGTACGTGTCATTCATATGCAAAAGCCTCTGCGCACAGCTTGGGTGGGGCGAGGTCTCAGGGGATCAACAGGGCAGAGCAAGCAGCTATGGCTGATCCTCAGCCCTGCCCTAAGAGGCCCCGCGTCTCAGTGTCCCAGTAATCACTGCAAGCACCTCTGAGAGAAAGCCGCCCTCCAGTTCCGACCGATGCCAGACAGTCCAGTTTCTCCCTGTATGAGTCTGGGTCCCCAGAGACTCACCCGGAACTGGAGTTCAGAGCAGTCGGGAGCTTGAGACACCCTCCCTATTGAAAAAGACAACCGTGTCCTCAGCTGCCAGCCCTTTCCAGGTGCACCGCGTCCCCAGTTGCCAGCCCTTTCAGCGTGCGCCTCCGTACCTCTGCACTTCCACACCTCCTCTGAGTCTCAGTGCTTTTCTCTTTCCTTCTAGTTGTAGAATTTCCACTCAGCCAGCCTTCCTGTGGTTCTGGATGATGTCTGTTTTGTCTTTTAGTTGTATTTTTGAAGTGGTTGTGCGAGGCAGCAATTTCCGGTGTTTACCTATGCCGCCATCTTGGTTTCTCCTCTGTGTTTTTTCTTTATTTCTTGATTAGTCTACTAGTAGTTCAAGATTTTTGAACTTTATTGTTTTCAAATAACTAATATTTGGTTTTGTTTCTTTTTCTGAATTGTTTCCTATTTCAGTGATTTATACTCTTTATTTTCTTTCTTATTATTTTGGATTAATTTCCTCTTTTTTTCCTAGCTTCTTAAGATGGAGTCTTCAATCTTTGGTTTTGAACTTTTCTTCTTTTCTAATATAAATACTTAAAGCTCTAATTTTCCCTTTAAGCACTGTTTTTATTTTTTTTAATATGTCTTTATTGATTTTAGAGAGAGGAAGGGAGAGGGAAGAGAGATAGAAACATCGATGAGAGAGAACATTCATCTGTTGCCTTCTACATGCTCCCACCAGGGATCAAGCCTGTGTCCTGGGCATGTGCCCTGACCAGGAATTGAACTGTGACCTCCTGGTTCTTAGGTCGATGCTCAACCACTGAGCCATACTGGCCAGGCTTTAAGCACTGTTTTCAGTTTATTCCAGAAATGTTACATTTTCATTATCACTGAGTTTGAACTATTTTCTAACTTCTCTTTTGATTTCTTCCTCGACCCATAGGTTATTTAGAAATGTCTTGCTTAATTTCGAAATATTTGAGATATGTTGTTTTCAATTTTGAATTGTGTTTTGTTGTGGACTAATATCAGTCCGTTGAAATGAATCGATAGTAGTTTAAGGCCCAGCATACGTTGGTGAGCATTCCATGTAGACTTAAAAATAATGTATATTCTGTAATTGTTAGGTGTAGTGTTCTGTAATACCTTCAGCCAGCTTTTAAAGAAAAATTTTGTCCAGAATTTATTATTTCAAGAGGGTTATTCTGATATGAGGTACTCTGATATTACCAATATTTTTTTTATATATTATTTCCTTATAATACATTCTTTTTGAAAGCATTCTAATGGCAGATATATTAAAATATAATAGGTTATAAACAGGTTATAGTTTGTGTGATTTGATATCTGGGTAAATATGTATCTATCTAGTACATGTGCTTTAAAGCAGTTGTAAAATCTATATATATACGTATTATATGATACTGTTTTTTCATTAATATGCAAACTCCTTCTGGAAAAAGTTTCATTTTGTATGTTTTATTACATCAATTAAGGATGTGACAGAATACTAGTATGTATTATTTAGCAACACATGATACAGAACCTGACATAATTTTTTACTGAATTTAATTAAAGATTTGTCTATTTCTTAAGGTATACTGCCTGGTTTCTTCTCTCCACAGTGGTCTCACATCTGAAACATGGCTACGGATTGGCTGGGCAGTATTGTGTCCATCAACTGTGGAGATAGCTTGGGTGTCTATCAGGGAAGAGTGTCAGCAGTTGATCAGGTCAGCCAGACCATTTCTCTCACCCGGCCTTTCCACAATGGAGTGAAGTGCCTTGTGCCGGAAGTCACCTTCAGGTGAGTATCCTTACTGATTCTTTCAAATCTAATCTGGTGATCTGGTGGTCTGAACCTAGGCCAGATGGCCAATATTCTCTTGTGTAGCACTGCTTTTGAGTACAGTCTTCTTGTCAAAGGTGAGATTTTGCAGTCCTGCTGCTGTTTCAGTAAGCTATCATAATTGGCTTTCAGCTAATGGTTCAGGGTTTGTGAAATGTTTTTCTTATCTCTATCAAGCATGCATATATTTAAATGGATGGGTCAAATTCAGAATAATCTTTCTGTTTTCTTTTATGGCTTCAGATTTTACTTCTCAGTTTTGTATCACTGTGCTTTCTTACTCTGAGGTTGTTACTGGTTTTCCCTTGTATAACTGCAGCTATCTGTAGATTTGTATCATAATTTATCTCCAGAAGCACAATGTAGCCAGTAGTTAAAGTTCTTAGCTACAGGGAAGTATTTTTCTTAGTGTTTTCCAGCATATCTGAAGTTCAGTTGTCTTCACATCCCTCTTTTTACCAGTGTGGCAAAATTATGTTAATTAAAAATAAAAATAAAAGACTATCAGACAAGAGCTTCCTTAACTTTCTGAATAATACCCACACATAACCTTTTCTGTACGTGTATCCAATCTTATTTCTTACCTCCTCTGAAGTCTCAATAGAAATATCTCCTTTGTGTTCAGGACTCACCTTATCATGTATGCTTTATATGCTATCCTTTTCTATCATCTTTGAGACCCTGTCCATCTTTTGTGTGTCTTTAGTTTCAACCTTTATACTGTCTCTTTCCTCTCTGCATTCTAACATTCCCAGGCTTCCCCTGTAGTACACATTCCCCCTCAAACCACATACAACTTACATTTGCAACTATCATTTCCTTCTCTTTACACCCATAGTTCTTTTCAGAGCTAAGTAGTCTGCCTTCATTCCCTTTGTGGCCTCATTCTCTAGTCCAGTGGTTCCCAACCTGGGGCACAGACCCCACAGAGGGGCAATTTGATTTTTAAGGTTGGCTATTCGAGAATGAATTATTAACAGTCAATTTTTTGCATTTCTTATGGTTCTAGGGGCCTCATATACAGTATATAAATACTGTGACATATTTATGCATTTCAGTTCTCTATTATATGTTTTGAAACTTTATTTGCTATTTTTTTCATATCACTTCATATTATTTTTTAAACTATTTTTAGTGATTTCTTCCTAAGTACTTCAGCTATCCTTTCGTTCTTTTATTTTTCTCTTTCATTGATGCCATGTTCTTTGGAATCTTTTTTTTTATTATTATTATTAAATCTTTATTGTTCAGGTTACATTTGTTCCTCTTTTTTTTCCCCCCCATAACTCCCCTCCTCCCAGTTCCCGCCCCACCCTCCGCCCTCACTCCCCACCCACTGTCCTCATCCATAGGTGCACGATTTTTGTCCAGTTTCTTCCCGCATCTCCCATTCCCCTTTCCCCCCCAAGAATAGTCAGTCCATTCCCTTTCTATGTCCCTGATTCATTATAATCACCAGTTCATTCTGTACATCAGATTATTTATTCACTTGATTCTTAGATTCACTTGTTGATAGATGCATGTTTGTTGTTCACAATTTGTATCTTTACCTTTTTCTTCTTCCTCCTCTTAAAGGATACCTTTCAGCATTTCATATAATACTGGTTTGGTGGTGATGAACTCCTTTAGCTTTTCCTTATCTGTGAAGCTCTTTATCTGACCTTCAATTCTGAATGATAGCTTTGCTGGATAAAGTAATCTTGGTTGTAGGTTCTTGCTATTCATCACTTTGAATATTTCTTGCCACTCCCTTCTGGCCTGCAAAGTTTCTGTTGAGAAATCAGCTGACAGTCGTATGGGTACTCCCTTATAGGTAACTGACTTTTTTTCTCTTGCTGCTTTTAAGATTCTCTCTTTGTCTTTTGCTCTTGGCATTTTAATTATGATGTGTCTTGGTGTGGTCCTCTTTGGATTCCTTTTGTTTGGGGTTCTCTGCGCTTCTTGGACCTGTAAGTCCATTTCTTTCACCAGGTGGGGGAAGTTTTCTGCCATTATTTCTTCAAATAGGTTTTCAATATCTTGCTGTCTCTCATCTTCTGGCACCCCAATTATTCTGATGTTTGTACGCTTGAAGCTGTCCCAGAGGCTCCTTACACTATCTTCATATTTTCGGATTCTTTTTTCATTTTGCTTTTCCGGTTGGGTGTTTTTTGCTTCTTCGCATTTCAAATCTTTGACTTGATTCTTGCGCTCCTCTGGTCTGCTATTGGGTGTAATATTCTTTATTTCAGAGCGTGTATGCTTAATTTCTAGTTTCTTTATCATAGCATCGAGGGTCTCATTAGTTTTCGTGAAGCTCTCCAAAAGTTTATTGCAAGCCCTCAAAATTGCGTTTTTTAGCTCTATATCCTCCATTTCTGTCATGTTTTTTTGTCTCCGCATTTTTTATGCTTTCTTGGTGCACCCCCTAGTGGTCTTTGTGCGCAGTCTTGTTCTAGTTGAGCCTTGATTGTTGTAGTTAATACTAGAGGGATTTGACCACCAGGCCGACTGGCTGTGTGAATCAGCTGTGTCTGCCGCGGAAAACTTCTGTCCTCTGGGGAGGTGCTAATCTAGCCTTTGCCTGAGGCGATCCGGCAAATGGCTCTGCGCAGGGCTTGGGCGGGGCGGGCTCAACAGGGCGGGCGGAGGGAGCGGTTATAGCCCCTCTCAGTCCCGTTCCCAGAGGCTCTGCTTCTCAGAACCCCAGGAACCGCTGCAAACCTCGGAGGGAAAGCTGCCTTCCAACTGATGCCAGACACTCCCGCTTCTCCCGTTTGAGTCCGAGTCCCCAGCGATTCGCCCGTATCTGGAGCTCAGAGTCTGAGACTCCCCCCTGACCGAAAACGACAACCGCGCTCTCAGCCACCAGCCCGCTTTGCGCGCGCACCTCCGCACCTGAGTATTTTCCACACTGCGCCTCCTCTGAGCCTCGGTGTGCTGTTATTTTTCCTTCTAGTTGAAGAGTCTCTCCTCAGCCAGCCTTCCTGTGGTTCTGGGTGATGTCCGTTCCGTCTTTTAGTTGTATTTTTGAAGTGGTTGTTTGCGGCAGCAGTCTCCGGTGTTTACCTATGCCGCCATCTTGGTCTCCCCCTGTTCTTTGGAATCTTGTTTAGACCAAGTTAATGGCCTTTTAGGCTTCCTCCACATGAATAGAAGTTTACTTTTTGAATAATAAGAATTATATGTCACGGGGGAGGAGGGGCCCATCAGAATTTTAGAGATGCTTAGGTGGAGCATGCCCAAAAGAAGGTTGAGGACCACTGCTCTAGTCCCTCCTTACTCTCCCCTCTTATCTTTTTTTTAACTTTACCATTTTGCTGAACTAGCTCTTGCTAAGGTTACAGATGACCTAATTGCCAAATTCATTGGCAGTGCCTCAATTATAATCTGTTCAAATGCTCTCTAACTTTTGAAGTGTCCTCTTCTTTTAGTTTCTCTATCACGTCTTTGAATTTTCTTTCCATGTTTTCCTTCATTCCTTTATTATTTCTATTTTTATAGGTTCTTTTTCTTCTACTCACTTTTAAGATTGGGTTACTCAAATTTCTATCTTTGATTCTTTTCTCATGCTGTACTCTAGACAATCTCATGTGTACCTTGTTATATATTAATGAGATTCCAAATCTTTTTTAGTAGTAATAATGAACATTTATTGAATTTTTAATAACTAAATACTAGACTTAAATATTTGCATATATCATGTCATTTATCCCCATGAGAATATGTATAAACTGGCCATTGTTACTGGTGACTTCTCTGTTTGCCTATATCCGTGGTCAGCAAACTGCAGCTTGCGAGCCACATGCGGCTCTTTGATCCCTTGAGTGTGGCTCTTCCTAAGCCTTGGGAGTACACTAATGAAGTTAATAACAATGTACCTACCTATATAGTTTAAGTTTTAAAAATTTGGCTCTCAAAAGAAATTTCAATCGTTGTACTGTTGATATTTGGCTCTGTTGACTAATGAGTTTGCCGACCACTAGCCTATATCAAATCTTTAATTTAGAACCATTTTCTGAGCTTCAGACATTTTGTCTTCTGGTCATTTTGAGGTGCCTATCCTTAAATCTTCAATTTAAGATTCTCAAAGCTGTCCTGACTGGTGTGGCTCAGTTGGTTGAGCATCGTCCCATGCACCAAAGGGTCACTGGTTCGAATCCTGGTCAGGGCATATACCTGTGATTCAGGTTTGATCCCCAGTTAGGGTACTTGAAGGAGGCAACTGATCGATGCTTCTCACATTGATGTTCCCCTCTCTATTTCTCTCTCTCTCTCTCTCTCTCTCTCTCTCTCAAATCAATAAAAATATTTGTTTAGAAAAGATTTTCAAAGCTGAATTTGTTACCTGCAGATTTCCCCTCAAAAGATCTACTCTTAAGAGGTGACTAATGACACCTTCCACCCAAGTTAGAAACTTAAGAACCATAATAAATTGTTTCTCTTTGATCTTCCTGTCACCAAATCCTGTGAATTCCAAGTGTCTCGTGGTTCTATTTTTCCTTCTCTCTTTTCATTGTCACTTGCCCTATTTATCCCCTCCTACTTCTTGCCTGGTTTCCTAACTCTAGTTTCTTCACCTACAGCCACCAGAAAAATCCAATGTGATTATGACTGGCCCCTGATTAATTACCTTCACAGGCCTTACCTCCACAAACATCTTTCCTTTTAGTCAAACCATAAAATTTGCAGTTCATCAAATAGGACACATTTTGTTAGTCTCTGAGCCTTGGCCTGAAATGCCTCTCTTGCTTGGGCAACTCTTATTTTCCGTACCCACCCAGACTTAACATACGTGTTTCATTGATCTCTGCCAAACTAACATCTGCATTTTCCTTTTGGGTTCTCTAGTCTCTTATGCACACTTATGTCATAGTATTTAACACTTTTAACTATCTACTTGTCTTTTCTGCTGACCAGACTGTGAGTTCTTTGTAGGCATGTATTGCTTTTCATCTCTATAATTTCATGTACATTGCAGGGCTTACCACATATTAAGTACTATGTATATGCCTACTGAATGAGCAAGTGAGTGAATGAATAAAAAAAAAGCTATTAAGCAATCTGGAAATCTAAGATACTAATGATAGTTTTGTGATTAACAATAGGGTTCTTTAAAGGCTAGTGCTTTGTCTGTTGAATGTTGGTGGCTGAGTCTTGTCTTTAAGTGATCTACCACCTTTCCTAGTTTTTGCCTTTGATAACTCATTGAAATGCAACCTTGCAAAGGTATAGCTCAAGCATGTCAAACTTGCAACTCGCCGGCCACAGTGTGACATGCTTGGTTGCTATTGATTTCAGTTTCATCACTGTTACCACTATTATAGTTTTGAGAGTTGGATTCTTTTGTGTATTTCAGGGCAGGTGACATTATGGAGTTAAAAATTCTGGAGATACCAGGTCCTGGAGAAAACCAACATTTTGGAGACCTTCATCAGACAGAATTAGGCCCTTCTGGTATTGGGTACCAAGTGGGTATCAATCAGAATGGCACAGGCAGGTTGGTCAAGAAGCCAACCTCTTCCAGCAGTGCCCCTCAAAACATCCCTAAGAGGACAGATGTGAAGAGCCAGGATGCTGCCGTTTCCCCGCAGCAGCAGCTGTGTTCCAAGAGCTATGTGGACAGGCACGTGGAGCCTTTGAGTCAGTCCAAAAGTTTCCGTCGTCGGCACAATTCTTGTAAGTTGGAGCAAGTTGATATTTCTTCTTAACCTGATGTTTGAGGGCTGTAAGTTCTTATCTACTGCTATTCTTTAAACAAATCCTTTACAAAAGGATGCTGGCAGAGCTTCACAAAAATATAGCACAGTTCTCTTCTTCCAGAGCTATAAGATAATAAGGGAAAAGAAATAAGCTGTTAGATGACCTGCTGGTGTTGCTCAGTGGTTGAGTGTCGACCCAAGAACCAGGTCAGGGTTCGATTCCCCGTCAGGGCACATGCCCGGGTTGCAGGCTTAATTCCCAGTAGGGGGCGTGCAGAAGGCAACCAAACAATGATTCTCTTCATTAATGTTTCTATCCCTCTCTCCCTTTCTCTGAAATCATTTTTTTTAAAAAAAGAAAAGAAATACTCTGTTAGAGACTCATACCAGTTTCCTTTCTTCAAGAAAAAATCTGCCTGGAGTTCACATAGACAGAAGTGTTATTGTTTTTAATCTGGTAACTGATAGTCATAGTGATGTCTGAGTTGGATCTGCACTGGGGCTGTTCTAAAGTATTCTTAAATAACTTTTCTTCTTGTGATTTGGCTCTAATCCTCGATAGAGGAGAGGAAGGCACTTGCCTAGAAACCTCTGTGACCTTAGTTTCTGACAGACTGACAATTTAAAATTTGCTGTACTCACTGTCCCTACTGGCACATCCAGAGAGTATGCACTGGTGTCTATTGATTTCCAGTTTTGTTTAGCACTAACAAATTGTTGAATGTTATTTGCTCATTATACAATCATAGTTAATTCACTGATTTGCTCTGAAATAATGCAAATCTTTTATATAATAGTTAATTATAACAGATTCACTAGAATCTGTGTGGCATTGATGTCAGGGGTCATCATTTTTAAGTTTTGAAAATACCTGATTCTGTGAATAAAATCCTGAAATTTTCAAAATTAAAAAAAATATGTATTTCAAGGTACTTTTCTTCAGTGCTTCTTTTTTTGTTTTTTTATTAATCCTCACCTGAGGATATTTTTCCATTGATTTTAGATAGAGTGGAAGGGAGGCAGGGAGGGGAGATAAGAGAGAAGGAGAGAGAAACATCGATGTGAAGAGACACATTGATTGGTTGCCTCCCACACATGCCTTGATCAGAGCCCGAGATCAAACCTGCAATCCAGGTATGTGCCTTGACTGGGAATTGAACCCAAGACCTTCAGAGCCTGGGCTGATGCTCTAACCACTTAGAACACTGATCAGGGCTTTCAGTGCTTCTTATATAACTATCTGAATTGACAATGATTGAAAAGCTGAGACTAAAATTGAATTGTTATTTTTGTTTCCTTTCAAAAACGGTAGAATGCTTGAAAAGAAAACGAGTCTTTTCTCTTTTTTTTTAATGTGTATTTTTTATTGTTGATAGTATTACGAATGTCTCTTGTTTATCCCCCCTTTTTACCTGCCTCTGCCCAGACCCAAACCCCCCTCCCTGGTCTTCACCACCCTATTGCCTGTGTCCATGGGCTATGCATATAAGTATATAAGTTCTTTGGTTTATATCTTCTTGTCCCCCCAACCCCACATCAAGGTATGTTCGTCTGTTCCATGCCTCCATCTTCAGGTCTTATTTTATTGGTCAGTTCATTTTGTTCAGTAGATTCCACAATTAAGTGAAATCATGTGATACTTGTCTTTCTCAGACTGGCTTCAGTTAGCATAATATGCTCCAGATCCTTTGCCAAAGGTAAGAGAGCCTTTTTTTTTAAAAAATATATTTTTTTGATTTTTTAAAGAGAGGAAGGGAGAGGAATAGAGAGTGAGAAACATCGATCAGCTGCCTCCTGCACACTCCCTACTAGAGATGTGCCTGCAACCAAGGTACATGCCCTTGACTGGAATCGAACCTGGGACCCTTCAGTCCGCAGGCTGACCCTGTATGCACTGAGCCAAACCGGGGCAAGAGAGCCTCTTTTTATAGCTGCACTAGAGGCCTGGTGCATGGATTCATGCGCCGGTGAGGTCCCTCAGCCTGGCCTGCGCCCTCTCGCAATCCAGGATCCCTCAGGGATGTCAGACTGCCGGTTTCGGCCAGGCCTGCAGGGATTGGGCCAAAACTGGCAGTCTGACATCCCCCAAGGGATGTAGTAGTGCGCAAAGCGGCAGGCAGCCAGGGAGGAGCCCGAGCCCAGGCCGGGCACCGTGCCACTCTCACTTATCCTGGCCCTGCTGCACTTGCTGCCACCACTGCTGCTTGGTAGTGCTGCTGCGGAGGCGGGAGAGGCTCACGCCACCGCAGCTGCACTTGTCAGCCATGAGCCCAGCATTTGGCGTCCAGTGGTCAGCTGAGCAGCATGCCCCACTGCGGGAGTGCACTGACCACTAGGGGGCATTTCCTGCGTTGAGCATCTGCCCTCTGGTGGTCAGTGCGTGTCAGCGACTGGTCAACTGGTCGTTTGGTCGCTTAGGCTTTTATATATAAAAGTGGTATTCCATAGTGTAAATGTCCCACAGCTTTTTTGTCCATTCATCTACTGATGGGTACTTGGGCTCTTTCCAAATCTTAGCTCTCTCTCTATATATATCAAAGCCTAAGAATGACTGGTTGACCGGTCGCTATGATGCGCACTGACCACCAGAGGGCAGACGCTTAATGCAGGAGCTGCCCCCTGGTGGTCAGTGCGCTCCCACAACAGGGGTGCCGCTCAGCTGACCAACCCATCCTGGTGGCCCAACATCCCAGCAGCAGCCACTCACTCTCTCAGTAGTCCTGCAGGTCCAATTTCCAGAGAATGGGCCAGGCACAGATGGACCAGCGCTGCTGGCACGATCCCGACAGTGCCACTGGCCTCCTGGAAGTCAGCCTTGGGCACCGTGGCCACTTCCCCTCCCTAGACGCTCCGCAAGGAAGAAATGATATCAAAGCGGCCGTCAGGTGGCTCCCGACAACTGGCGTGAACATCAGTGGGACGGATCTGGATCCCAGGCTGGCAAGGGCATCCCACTGCCCACCCAGAGGGCTGATCGTGTCCCAGCCCCGCCCCCATCCCATTCAGGACAGGCGCCAGACTGGGCGCAGCGGGGCCGGGATGAGCGGGAGCAGCAGGCAGTGTTGGACTGTCGGTTTCGGCCCAATTCCTACAGGACACGCCGAGTGACCCCACCCGTGCATGCACCAGGCTTCTAGTTGTAAATAACACTGCTCTGAACATAGAGGTTCGTATATTCTTTCTGATTGATGTTTCAGGATTTTTAGGATATATTCCCAAAAGTGGGATCACTGGGTCAAACGGACATTCCATTTTTAATTTTTTCAGGAAACTCCATACTGTTTTCCATAGCGGCTGCACCAATCTGCATTCCCACCAGCGGTGAACTAGTGTTGCCTTCCCCTACCCCCAGCCCGCATCCTCACCAGCCAGGATGCTTGTAGATTTTTTTGATGATAGCCATTCTGACTGATGTGAGGTGATATCTCATTGTAGTTTTAATTTGCATTTCTCTGATGATTAGTGACTTTGAGTATTTTTTCATATGTCTCTTGGCCATTTATGTCTGTCCTCTTTGGGGAAATGTCTATTCAGGTCTTCTGCGCATTTTTTAAAAATATATTTTATTGATTTTTTACAGAGAGGAGGGGAGAGGATAGAGAGTAAGAAACATTGATGAGAGAGAAACATTGATCAGCTGCCTCCTGCACACTCCCTACTGGGGATGTGCCCGCAACCAAGGTACATGCCCTTGACTGGAATTGAACCTCGGACCCTTTCAGTCCGCAGGCCAACACTCTGTCCACTGAGCCAAACCGATTAGGGCTTCTGTGCATTTTTTATTTTTTATTTTTTTAATCCTCACCAAAGGATATTTTTCCATTGAGTTTTAGAGAGAGGGAAGAGAGAGGAAAAGACCGAGAGAAATAGCGATGTGAGAAAAACACATCAATTGGTTGCCTCCTGCACATGTCCCAACCAGGGCCTGGGCCTGGGAAGAGCCTGCAACCAAGGTACGTGCTCTTGACTGGAATCGAACCCAGGACCCTTCAGTCCACAGGCTGACGTGCTATCCACTGAGCAAAACCAGCTAGGGCTCTTCTGCCCATTTTTTATTTGGATTGTTTGTTTTCCTTGTTGAGTTGTATGAGTGCTTTTTATATTTTGAACTAGAGGCCCGGTGCACAAAAATTTGTGCACTCGGGGTGGGGGGTCCCTCAGCCCGGCCTGTGTGCCCTCTCGCAGTCTGGGACCCCTCGGGGAATGACCACCTGCTGGCTTAGGCCTGCTCCCCGGGGGATTGGGCTTAAGATGGCAATCAGACATCCCTCTGGCAGCCCGGCAGCCCTCGAGGGATGTCCACTTGCCAGCGGGGAGCAG